TTTATAATAGATTGCCAATTCATATTTTTGTGAGGAAAATAGACCCTTAAGGTAAGATTTTAAAAGTAAACTAACTCTATGGTAAGCCGTACTTTTGGGAGTGCACAGCATGAAGAATTTTTACTATGCCAATGCTACCTAATGCCATATAGATATTTAAATGTTGCATGTCAGGCAACATACCCATCTTGTATACGCAAAAAGCAAAATTCTCGATTAAATAGAAGATAATTAATTCCCTTCAGTTATTTAGAAGGCAAACGTGGACCTTCAACTCGCAAATATGTGTAAACGCAGAAAAAAACCTTAATTTTATAATCGTACATATCGTTAGTTGAGCAACTATTCAATATGGTTAAAGCAAATATATGTAAATAAGAGCAAATATAAGTAAATGCAAAAAAACCCAATTTTATAGTCGTACATATCGATAGTTGAGCAACTAATCAAGATGGTGTCTCGCGCAACATATCAATTTCTCATTATTTTAAAAATTACTATCATAAAACGTTTTAGATGTCTTAAGACTTTAACAATAAATAATATTATTAACCACATTACATAACTAATTCCTAATAGCATTTGTCTAATTAATTGAAAACGCTTTAATAAGTTTTTTTTTTTTTGGACACTTGCTGTTGGAAATATTTTTTCTTTTATATCAGAAACAGGAAAATATCTCAGTTAAAATAAGGCATGAATACTATGTATGTATTATAACTTTAAAAATACAAAAGATAAGATATGTTTACATAATTACGGTTAATTTATATCACTGTGTAAACGAGCTCAAACACATACCTACCATTAACGCACGTTTCATAGTGTACGTCCTCACCAATGTAACAAAATCGAGTAAAATTATAATTATGCTTTGTATCATTGTACTAGGTACAAAAATACGTTACCTAGCTCTGGCTAAGTTGTGTTGGCAAATAATAAAATTTTCTGCACAACTCTGTTTTTAAATAATAAAAATTATGTACTTACCATTATTGCACGTTTCATAGTGTACGTCTTTACCAATGTGACGACATCGACCTTCTTCAGAACATGTTCGATTTCTTACTTTTGTATGATTTTCACCATTCTTAAAACAAACACTCCATTTGCTCCACTCTTTATAAAATTCTATATTTGATGAAAAACTTTCAGTTTAGGATGGGAACATGCATGAAAAATCACTATAAAAATGACACTTTCATTTTGTATGGAGGATACAACTTTGAGTGAACCAATAACCAATATACATCACGATGCATGGTGTGCAATGAAATCTAATGTTGTACTAACCATTTTCACATGTTTCATATTGAGTGCTTTGACCCAGATGACTACACCTTCCATCAACTGAGCAAGTTCGATTTCTAAATTTCGTGTCCCTGCCATTCTTGTCAAAACATATACTCCATTTGCTCCAAGAATGATAAAACTCTACATTTGTTTTATAATAGATTGCCAATTCATATTTTTTGTGAGGAAAATAGACCCTTAAGGTTAAGATTTTAAAATTAAACTAACTCTATGGTAAGCCGTACTTTTGGGAGTGTGCACAGCATGAAGAATTTTTTACTATGCCAATGCTACCTAATGCCATATAGATATTTAAATGTTGCATGTCAGGCAACATACCCATCTTGTATACGCAAAAAGCAAAATTCTCGATTAAATAGAAGATAATTAATTCCCTTCAGTTATTTAGAAGGCAAACGTGGACCTTCAACTCGCAAATATGTGTAAACGCAGAAAAAAACCTTAATTTTGTAGTCATACATATCGTTAGTTGAGCAACTAATCAAGATGGTGGCTCAGCAAAATATTGTCCGATTTCTCATTATTTTAAAAATTACTATCATAAAACGTTTTTAGATGTCTTAAGACTTTAACAATAAATAATATATTTAACCACATTACATAACTAATTCCTAATAGCATTTGTCTAATTAATTGAAAACGCTTTAATAAGTTTTTTGTCCTTTTGTACACTTGCTGTTGCAAATTTTTTTTCTTTTATATCAGAAACAGGAAAATATCTCAGTTAAAATAAGGCATGAATTCTATGTATGCATTATAACTTTATAAAAATACAAAAGATAAGATATGTTTCTATAATTACGGTTACTTTATATCACTGTATAAACGAGCTCAAACACATACCTACCATTAACGCACGTTTTATAGTGTACGTCTCACCAATGTAACAAAATCGAGTAAAAATTATAATTATGCTTTGTATCATTGTACTAGGTACAAAAATACGTTACCTAGCTCTGGCTAAGTTGTGTTGGCAAATAATAAAATTTTCTGCACAACTCTGTTTTTAAATAATAAAAATTATGTACTTACCATTATTGCACGTTTCATAGTGTACGTCTTTACCAATGTGACGACATCGACCTTCTTCAGAACATGTTCGATTTCTTACTTTTGTATGATTTTCACCATTCTTAAAACAAACACTCCATTTGCTCCACTCTTTATAAAATTCTATATGTAATAAAAAACTTTCAGTTTAGGATGGGAACATGCATGAAAAATCACTATGAAAATGACACTTTTATTTTGTATGGAGGATACAACCTTGAGTGAACCAATAACCAATATACATCACGATACATGGTGTGCAATGAAATCTAATGTTGTACTAACCATTTTCACATGTTTCATATTGAGTGCTTTGACCCAGATGACTACACCTTCCATCAACTGAGCAAGTTCGATTTCTAAATTTCGTGTCGCTGCCATTCTTGTTAAAACATATACTCCATTTGCTCCAAGACTGATAAAATTCTACATTTGTTTTATAAGAGATTGCCAATTCATATTTTTTTGTGAGGAAAATAGACCCTTAATGTTAAGATTTAAAAAGTAAACTAACTCTATGGTAAGCCGTACTTTTGGAAGTGTGCACTGCATGAAGAATTTTTTGCTATGCCAATGCTACCCAATGACATATAGATATTAAAATGTTGCATGTCATGCAAAAAACCCATCTTGTATACGCAAAAGGCAAAATTCTCGATGGAATAGAAAATAATTGATCCACTTCAGTTATTTTAGAAGGCAAACATAGACTTTCAACTCGCAAATATGTGTAAACGCCGAAAAAAAACCTTAATTTCATAGTCGTACATATCGTTATTAGAGCAACTATTGAAGGTGGTGGCTTGCGAAACATATTGTTCAATTTTGCATTATTTTAAAAATTACTAACATAAAAACGTTTTCAGATGTTTTAAGACTTTAACAAATAAATAATATAATTAAACACATTACACAACTAATTTCTAATTAGCATTAATTGAATTAATTGAAAATGCTTTAATAATTTTTTTTGTTTTTGTACACTTGCTGTTGCAAATTGTTTTTTCCTTTTTTATCAATAAAAGGAAAATATTGCAGTTAAAATACGACGATTTTCTGGAAAATATTCAATTATGTGAAACATAACATATTCGTACATATCGCAAATATTGAAGGTGGTGTCTCGCGCAAATTTATGATTTTGGTGCTGCATAAGATATTTAAGGTTCGCGTTCTAGATGATGGTTGTTGTTTATGTATAAAACAATATGTTTCATGTATAATTTCAATATAATATTCTCTTACATTTATGGAAATTTAGTTCTTTTATTTGTATAATATGTGGTAAATTTGAGCAGCTGACAAGGTGCACTATGCTTATCTTCCTTAATTTTTTGGTCTTCAAATTTGGCTTTTTCGTATTTGTCCGTGAGGTGCTGTGAATGGCATCAGTTTTTTGGACTTGACGTACATTGAAGAAAACGCTGCTTTCCAACGGTTTAGTTTGTACAGGTTGAAACATGGTTTCAAATACAATTTGAGAAAAACATGCACATGTGACTTTTCATGGACTATCAAAATGCACAAGTCTGAAAGACGATCGACCGGCTCGTATTTTTCAATTACGTCGGATATTACTTTTCACAGATCCATATTTTCCACACACGCAGCCATAACAAGGTACCAACTTTTAGCAGTGTTTTATTTTCACTAGAAACACTTTGCAAACAATGAACTGTAAACTCATTCGCTAAAGAAAATCTACTTAAAACTTAGGCCAGCCGTTGACACAGCTTTGTTTCCAATCATTTAACTTTCCCATTTTGAAATGTTTATTTTGCTTGGCTCTTAGCTCATTTCTTTGTTGGACTAACCAATGAGCCAGGAGCGCATTTTTCCAAAAAATTGCACTGTATTTCATTTTTTTGCACTCGTATTTGCGATAAATTGTACTCCTCCTCTGAAACAATTAGAGTTGATTGATTTTTTCATGTGCATTATTAATAGTGAAATTTGTAGCAAAGTTGAGAAATTTATTTCTTATTTTACTTCAGTTATATTTTTTTTTCAATTAATCACACTGTAATTCTATAGCGTTCAAAAGCAGCGTGCTCTCCAATGTACGTCATGTCGGTGAACTAGACCCAGCAAACTTTGACGTCAAAAAAGTCATTGAAGATTAGACTTTCGTCTTATAAAATATATTGCAAGTGTTTTTAAAAATGTCAACTCTATTTAAATGTATAATTTTCCTGAGGGTGATATGGGAACTTTAAGACTGTTTTTATTAGAGATGTTTTCATTTAGCACGAAATTTTCCTTAGTTTTAACTGGCATTAAGCCCAGTTTCCATATAATCGTCCCGATTGTCAGTCGTTTGAAAATGTGGAAGGACGATTAGATATGGACAGAGTTCTATCCAGATTTCGTCCCTGTAGGCTTTCAGACGACAGACGATCAAGACGATTATCTGGAAACCGGGCTTAAATTGTCAGTGATAAATCCGGATTACATAATTATAATGACATATTGCGCAATAACGTATGTGTTAAGTAAATATTCTTTGGGTGATGTATAAGCATATATAAAACACACCTATCTTTAAAATATACACTTACCATCATCGCAAGACTTTTCTTGAATGTTTTCACCAAGATATCCACATTGGCCAGCTTCAGAGCAAGTTCGATTTCTCATTTTCGTATCTTTGTCGTTTTTCTTGAAACAAACACTCCATTCACTCCATTCTTGATAAACACCTGTATAAATTCACGAAGAAATCGCTAAACTATTAAAACATTGAGAACCATCTCTTAAGCCAAATAGATTTCATAAAAACTTCGTTTCTCATATTGCACCGCTATTTCCAATATCATATCGCTAATGTTGCTACACAAACGTCATAGTAGAGCTATATAGAAAAGATGAATTCTTAATTTTTTCTAAATATTTCAAGTTTACTTTTTATGAAATCCTGAAAAGAAAATTGATAAACAAACGTGATGAGTTTCCTTTTCTTTCTTGTAAGAAATTTGTGAATCAGATTTTATTATTTAAATGACATATTTGAGTGTTAGTAAAATTAGAATGTTCATTAGGGTTAATTAATTTAAGCTTTATAATTATTTTGTGCCAGTATCACTTTCATTTCAAAGACATAATGCAATGGCGTGCATATAGATATTTTTGAAAAATTAGTATTCAGATATAATATAAGTATAAAGATCGTGTTGTTTTTATTCTCTAACATTTATAGATGAGACTACATAATTTAAATATATTCAAATCATAATTATTCAAATTAAACAGCATAGGCTGCTTATATTAGTAGAGCACTTATGAGTAGAGCGTCAGATGGCTTGTAAATATATTCGGATCTTGAATTTGTAACAAATTCAAAATATAACTTTTCCAATAAACAATGCCTATTTCTTTTTTTTAATATTGGGTTAATCATGAATGTTATATTTCGAGTATGCTTCATATTATAAAACTATAGTGGTTATTATTTTAGCAAAAATTATGATATTTTCCCTTTTTTTGTCGTATTGAGATGACCGCTAGAGAACCAAATTAGTAAGATGTTAATTGAGACAGCGCAAAAAATTCGTATAGTAAACAAAAAACCTCCACCAGTATCCTAAATGCAAAATTGTGTCTCCTAAAAAACAAATATGCAAATCACAGGCTAAAACTTGCTCTAGTACTAACGTAGTTTTAAATGCCATAACTCAATATTATTTTACAGTATTTTAAATCCGAACAGGTCTACTTCATTCTCGATTATTATATTTTTCTAATGTTATGTGTTAGAATAATAATACGCTTGATCTGTAGAGCTTATTAAGCCAATAAATTACGTACTCGTAAGCTTCATTTCCCAATATATGAGCAGGCAATGAGGAAAAGATCAGCAATATGTAAAGTCTCAAATATCGATTGATTCTAACAATGTATGACTTACAGTCACTTACCACAAGTTACATTTGCAATAAACCCAGGTTGGACAACACCTTGACAATTTGTGCACGTGGAATTATTACCTCCACAAACACCACAAAAGTCTGTTTTATTTTCACTGTCTTGAATACCATCACAACCAAAATAGACAGGAGCCGCGACTGAAATGAAAAACGTAGCTCTGCAAATTATTGCTAACTTAAACTATGAAAAAAAAGGAAGATTTAAGATATAGTTTTCGTGACATGTTCTTGAAACGCAAGTACATATTGAACGATTAAACTTCATTCATCTCACCAACAATGGAGTCATTTTTCTTATTTGCAGTTCTTCAAAAGATTTTAAAGTTGCTTCGCCAATACTTGTCTTTCCTGTGACAGCGACATCAAATAAACATTCTTTGTTTTCACCACAGACAGATCTTGCTCGCCGCTCCAAATCATCGTCAGAAAATAATGTGTTTGACTCATCCAAAAACTTTGGTGTAAATGTCTGATCAACAAAACTGTTATAACTCTTTCCACTTGGGTATTTGAACAAAGTTTTGCTGCTGTTGACAATCCCTGTAAATATATTATGGTTTCCAAGTTCAAATTGTATTGTTTATCGCAAAAGCTTTTCACTGAAGCAAGTGCTGTATTTTAATTTTTTCTAGAAAGAATAATTGGTCTCCTCGTTGCAAAACAGATTATTTTCTGTTCACATAAGCAAAGCAAAAAGCTCCATAGTCTAGCATTATTTCTCTCAACGCAAATGAATTTTCAATAAATACCTTATTATGAACTTTATTTACGATATTTTTTTGGGATGCCAAAGAATGTTAAAGCTAACTTACATTAACTTTAGTCATTTGCTTAATAGTGGCGTAGCTTGACTTAAACTTTTGGGGGGCATATATTCATGCTCTAAGCATTTCTAGGTGGATGAAAGACATGCTCCGCGTGTTTTGGGGGTATGATTTTACGCTATTCTGAAAGTTATATGCCATTAGAAAACATTAATTTGATGATTACCTATAAATACAACCATTTTCAAAAGTCTTTGATTTGATTTATAATAAACGATAACGAAAACAGCACTATATTGAAGTATATTTAATATCTTAAAGCGTATTACTTTCATCAAAGAGAACCCTAATGACGTCTACAACACGAGATATTGTCATGTAAAGTTCATTCTTATATCATTTTTACGCGATTCTTACAATTCATTATTACATCATTGTACATCTGATGATTATCGCTCATTCATTCATTTATTTATGATGACATGTGCGCAAAATAGAGAACCTTGTTTTCAATGCCTATAACCCATGTATTCTGTTACGTTTGACTGACATAATCATACAGACTTTGCAGCCTTTCTTGGTTCATAAGCAATTTCTATACTTTGTATATTGAGAATATTTTCATTGACATATAAGCACAACATACAAAAAAATTATCGAACCAAATGGTTAGAATACCACTGGTAACCATAGTACACATTTTCTGTTGTCAGATTAAAAAAGTAAAAGTTTGACAAAAGTTGGGATGAAGAAGTCATCCAAAACAAAGGTAGTCAAGTATGTGTCACCTAAATTTCTATCTTGATTTCCATTTTTTACAAATATATTGCCTCTGTTTTTTAAGGTGTGGAAACCCCCTCCCCCTTGTTTGCGCCACTGTTCCTTATTTTACCCATTGTTTTTCATTATTTTTTATTTAAAAAATTTGAAAAAAACTTACATTTTAAGCCGAATTCATAATGTAAGGTTCGATCACTTGAATTAGTTTGAATGAAGCTTCCATTTGGCAATAAAAATTCTTTTTCGGTACTATCGTCCCAAAAGCCAAGAAGTCCAGATGTATTTCCTGCAAACACAAATATAAAATTGGACGACGTTTCCGTTGAATTCTAACATGCAAATTTCTTTACAATCGATGTCTTTTAATGTTATGAATTAATCTGACAAATTTAGATTGTGATATAAAAAGGTTATTTGGACAATTCATTTGTATAATATATGACGCATTTATGAGATAAATTTACTAGAGTATGACAAAAAAAAATATATTAATTCAAAAAGTTTGCAAACAAAATTCATATGAGAAAAGAAAGAATACTTTTGCAAATGCATGATCAAAGCAAGAGCAAGTAAGCCGAAAATATTTATTTTGCAATGCAAAGTTTTCTTAGGGAAGTTTTATATCTTTAAAATTTCTCCTTAACTTAATTTTTTTCCTGTGATTGAACACAAAAAGTTATATATTTTAAAAGTGGAAATCCTTCTTTAGTCTTTTGTTTGAATATGCTCAAAAATATTAAGAAAAAGTCTAAAGTAAAGCAACCTATCTATCTAGTAATTACCTTTAAACTTCTGTGGGATTGAAATTTGATAGTTTAAAAAATCTTCGATTGACTTTGTCTCAACAGACACTCCAGACGAGAAGTAAATACCAATTTTTGTTACATTATGTTTGATAAGAAAAACTTCTTTAAAGTCCAGTCTCGTTTGCTCATCGAATTCAATTTTTTCTCCGTTGGAATAAACAATAATTTTTTGCCTTTTGTTGAACTCAACCTTCGACAAGAAAGCAATGTTAAAAAGTGCTTTGAAATAATAATTTAGTATCTACTCTTACATACAATTTATTCTTTTACGTAAAATAAATTTATTGAAGCAAGGAAAAGTTTTTTGGGAAAAAAAAATTATGGAAGAGCTCAAAAAACTCGTAACTCGTTTCAGTACTACCACATTGAAATAAATAAAAAATCCTACTATACTCTCAAATTCTTTCGCCATATATTTACCTGTATAGTATCACTTTCTGCTTCCTTTATGGCAAATGCTGTGAGTGCAGTTGCTTTCGTGGTTTTGCCTTGATCATCAAGAATTGGTATCATTCTTCCTTGAAATTGTAGATCATCACCATTGTTGATATGTAAGAGAACATATTCACCATGACCATTAAATGTATAAAATGTTCCATCAAATGTGGACAAGTGAGGATCTCCCCTGGTATCAGCTAATGTGAAAAACAATATGAGATAATTAATGCTAAAGTCCATTATTGACATTAGTGATGCTGACTTCTAGAAACATAGATATACACAATTGATACAACTAACGAATAAAATTTGTTTTTGTAGAGGTCTACGCAAAAACCACGTTTACTTATATCTATTTAACAGATCGATGCTTTGAATACTTATGTAGCTGTTTTCAAAAAAAAAACCAGCAAATTGCTGTTGCTTTTGATGTGTATATGAATTTTACAGACGAACCCAAGAACAATTTGCATATTGAATTAAATTAATAAATGGAATTTATTTATGGGTTCAATTAATTTTCAAACATTAATCGAAATGAAGTACTCACCAACAGGTGGTGGTACATATCTAGCACCATCATCAGAAGGCCGTTTGCTATAGTATTTACCACAAGTTTTTAGGGAATTACAACAAGCATAAAAAGGTAACACATCCTTTCCATAATGAAACCATACTCTGTTTTCAGGTGATTCTGCATCTGGTGTTCCACCACGTGGAGGTCCCACTATCAGTGTTCCTTGATCACTATAGCAACATTGCTGTTCTTTACCTAATGCACTAAAAGGTAAAAATCAGAACAATGGAGACTTTGTATAATATTTTATGGGATGTATTTACCACAATTTTCTAGGGAATTACAACAAGCATAAAAAGGTAACACATCCTTTCCATAATGAATTAATGCACTAAATTGTAAAAATCAGAACAATGGAGACTTTGTATAATACTTTATGGGATGTATTTTACAATCGAGAAAGCTTGTGTCATAACCATTAGACATTGTATGAAAGAATGTAGACTGTAATAAGATATGGGAAAAAATGGAGCGTTTGCATGTGAAATCCAATCAACCAAGTTAGGGCAGTACATTAAACAGCTGATGCTGCAATAGAGCATTAAATTAACATAAATATTTATTTCTAAATGGGATTCCACCCAAGCATGGCGACCGATGCAAACACATTTTTTGCCGAGACATCATTAAAAGTTGGGAAGAGCATCGTTCTGTCAATAGACATATGAACAGTTTTTATTTTAGAGGATGAAGTCAACGATATGCTGACCTACACTTCTTCGTTTGAGCTTTAGGAGGCTTTTCAGCTTTCAAATATTCTATAGTTTTTATTCTATAGTATAAATTTAAATAATAATCAGAAATATTAATTGGTGTACTTATTTAACCAAGACTATATCAGTTACTATTAGATGTTAACCTTCATTTTAATTAACAGGGGTATAAGCCCACTCAGTTACAAACTGTTGTTCTACTGTAAAGCTGTAGTATACGAAAAGCGAGGTCTTTTGTAGTTTTAGCGCAATTGATTTTATGTATTATATCGTTAGATGTTCTGACGTTCTGCATAAAAAAAAATTTCTCCTGTGTTATCCATAAAAGTTTCATCCTACCTTAAGTTTATATTTTAGTTTTATACTTATAATATTATGAGATAGAAAAGAATGTAAAACTAAGTAAACAGTAATTATCAAGTCAGCGCGCTCAAAGTCTTTTTCTCCGTAATTTATCTCTATTAAAATATAATCTCATAGGCTTTCCAATGGGAAAAATTTTCATTCATAAAAAATAAATCGTCCAATGCCTTTTAAGTACTCTAAAAAGCATTATACCTTTTCCATTTCTGCTTCACAAAACATACTGCAAGTTTTAATTAAGATTCTTCAGTAATAAAAATTAAATTGCTAGCAATAACATATTGGAAAAAGAGAAGCATTCATTATTTTTATAATCTTATAGTTAGTATCCGTGTATTTCAAAAACAATAAAAGGAAATAGGTAAAATATGAAACCACTAGAAACATTGAAAATGAAAAAACCATAAAATGAAACCATAATTAGTACAAATCCTCCTGATAGAAACATTCTAACATTAAATATGAGTGAAAACGTTAACAGCTATGGTAAGAAGACGTTCACATTTAACATTAGTTAACACAAACCTGGAACTTCGTGACCGATAACAAGATGTCTTGCCAAAATGAAAGTAGTTTATCAAACGGCTTTTGACTCCAAGATCTTCGACAAATTGCTCATCTACTCTTGCTTGTCGTATGCTCGTAGGGCATGCAGATAACTCTTTTGCTTAATATAGAAAAAAGACAATGCTTAAAGTTTCACTATTATGCCCATCAGTCCTTTGTGTAAGATCTCATTAAGCTCGAATCGTGTCTATAAAATTTTATTGTGTAAAGTTTAATAAAAAAAAAATTTTTTTACTATACCATTGATTCTATCTAAAAAGAATAGATATGTTCCACATGGTTCAGGTGATGAAATAAAAACAGCACTAAAAAGCGTTTTTGAATTTTTGCTAGGTGACGATGCCTTAATGTTAAGAATTGAAATTGAGACGACGTAAGACTTCTTCTCTTTCGTTTGTTTCTGCAACGAAAAACTAAGTGGTCACGTGTTAATGCTAAACTAAAACACACTTCTCGCAAGAAAAAAGAACATCAGCTACATTAAAACATGTTTTTCTTATCGAATATTAGTTTAGAGCAGAAAACAAAGATAAATTCTGCTTGGGCTCATGAAATTTTACGAGTCTGATGCAAAATTTTGGTAATTTTAGTTTTCTTTGTTTGTACTGCTCTATCACTGTCATGCTATTACTAAATTGACTCGTTCTCTTTCTCAACAGGTAATGTTAATAACAATTTTTGCAAGTAAACAAAAAACTTTAAAGATTCCTGCACAATTTTTTAGAGAAGATAACTAGGGAAGATTCCTGCGCTTTTCGAGCCTCCTTTTTCCCAGTTCTTTTTTCTAATTAAATAAAATTGTCATAAATATTGTCCTATAAGCAATTGCTAATTTAGAAATCTTAGACTTTTGTAGAAATCTCACCCCACCCACCCCCCAATAGCTACAACACAAGAGTCAATAAAAAAAATCAAAATTTTGCAACCATTTGATTTTATGGCATAATTCAGTGTAAAACGCCTAAATAGAATGATGTTTACCTTGAGTTTTTTAAGATATTACCATCACTGAAATCAAGTTCGTAGCGTCCAGAATTGGGAACATCATGAAAAGTTACTAAATTGTTCAGTTCCACGTGAAAAAAGCCACGTTGGATTGTGATGTTTACATGTGAAGAGTTTATTTCGTTTTTATTCCACGTCAAAACTGTTCTGGTGGAATCTGCCCACTTTTCCACTTCCAATCCTTGAACGTCTGGTGGATTTCTTCCTAATGGTACTATATAAATATATGTCTTACGTTACACAAGAATTTACGTTAATCTATTTCTTTCTCGTGCAATGGTGTTAAGTTTAGGTATGATGGTCTAGAAAATATGGAGTTTTGCGGTAAATATTTTTTTAAACAGCAAGACTGCAAGTAATAAAGTAAATGGTTTAAACCCAAGAGCATCAGCCAAATGCTAGTAAATGTAGATCATCCACGTTAGTAGATAGGGTGTTAATATTTAGCAACGTTTTGAAACCTTAGTGGAAGTCATCTTCAGATAAAAATAAGAAAGTAAAATGTTTGCGGTAATTGTTTTCTTCCAGTGGGCAATTGACGTCGGATTGACCTTCGAAATTGCGTCAAAAATAACGACCTTCAGAACGACGTGGTTGCCTCGACTTAATATTAACGTTGAAAAAACGCCATTTTTCGACGCCAGTTTTAAGTTTGTAACTTCGTTATTTACGTTGAATACTCGTTGAAAAACGACGATTCATACTTTTCCATGTTTTTAACCCAAAATAAATTCCCATACTTCGTTGGTTAGCATTTTGATTTTGCCACTATAAAATTATAATTTTAGATGCCCTATATCGCAACGAACAACTCTAGTAACCGATTATATCGATCCGTGTCGAGTGATAATCAAGATGGAGTAGCATAATCTTCATAGTTACTATTATCTATTTTTTATTAAGACGCTTTTGAAGAAGCTATCGTTGGAGTAAGCCATATATTAATTGATTATGTACACCGAGAAGCCGATTACATGGGAAAGTTGTTCCGTCTAGGCAAGTTGACCTACCTGGCCGAGTTGACTCGCTTTGCAAGTGTGTCATATATTATTGATGGTAATTAATTTGATTTCAAGTTTTTTGCTGCTTACAACTTATCTGAGCAATTTTTGGTAAATGCTCTTGTTTACGTCCATGCACTCTTTTAAACATATTCTTACTTAATAGATACTTCCATAACAAACACTTACTTGATCTGAAGCTGCCATTAAAATTGTAGGTAACACCACCATCCAAAGACAGCTCAAATAAAATACGTCCACTCTCATAGAGTGGAGGGGTGATGCAAGAAGCTTGTTCTGGACTAATGTATTGTGCTTTTGAAGTTAATTTCCCCATAAAGCGACAAATGATAGTATTTCCAGGCTTATAACAGGGTCCACCAACATAAACTTCTGTTCCACCTAACTCAATCCCCGATCTAGGTGAAATCACCAAATCTATAAATGTATTTAATAATTAAAGTACCCATATACACATTTTGTAAAATAAATAAAATTTACAAGTATAATAGATCATCTGCATGCAACAATCTCAATAGAATTTTCTTGTTTAAAAAGTGTATATTTTTTACTTAACACATTTGATAAACCAAAGTCAGTCACTATAATACGGCAATACTATGGTAGATCATACTTCCACTTTCCTTGCACTCTTCGTTTTTCACTGTTTCTCCATCGACTTTAAAAAACCATACTCCAGGAATCTGTTTGTTAGATGTTGAAGCAATGTTGATTATCTCAGGAGTACGAGAATTTGGAATGTTTAAAAAGTTTTTACCATCACCTGCGTTGAAACCAGCCTGAAATAAATACTAATTTGTGAATATAAATATTTGAATTTAAGTAAGTAGTTCTAACCAAATTTACAAATGTGTTTTTTTAATAATTTCTTAACGAAAACATTTTATTGAGAAATTATTAAACATAGACGTTATTATCTGTTTTATCAGTTTGATGATTTTTACGCATCCATCAATCTTACGAAACGACAATGCATTTCAAGTAAAAAAATTTTGCGAATGCCATTGCTAAGTCAATTTTTAGAAATGGAGTCTTATAAAAAAACGATTGTAAACAAGATATCCATCCCTTTGCCATGTGTTACTTCTTCACCTCTTCTGGCTCAAAATAATTCTTTAATTATACGGTAAATGATTCTGAAAACGCTTAAATTATTGACAGAGTATGTCAGTAGACATAATGATTTAATTTGACCTCATGATTAGAGATATCAAAAATTATTTGCAGTTAGTTGACGTATCACAGTCAGCATTGTTTACATAGTGAATAGCAGCATGTGTATCAATAAGTATTGTACATATATTCATTTTTTGAATTATACATCATATGAATACCTACTTGTGCTGGAGTTTTGTGACTAGCACTGCCGTACGTCCATTTGATTTTATTGTAGTAAAATATTGAAAATGAATTAATACCGTCTGTTGCCAAAATTACTTGGAAGTTGTTCTGTAAGAAAGAAAGGTTTATCAAAAAATTGACAAATATATGAAATTTTATGTATGTAGATGGTTAAAATAATCGAAGTTATATGTCACTTCAAACAAATACCGTTATGTTTTAGGTTCTACCATTAAATTTTACATCGTTTTGAAATGTTTGGCAAGACATATTTTGCTCTCATAATGTAAACATAAACACGAGCCCATTGCCCAAATAAGCACAAAAAATACTGCAAAGCATAAACAGCTTACAGCTTTGATTCATTGCATTTTTATTAGGAATGCAAGCAATATATACAAAATAATTTAAACAACTGAAATTTTCATAGATCTTGACTTAGAAAAATGTAATCACCATGAAAAAATCTCCCCAATATGAAAGATTTAAATTCGAAATAAACTCAAGAAAAAAAATTATTTACATTAGGATCTGAAGAGCCACCATAATGTGCAACATTTAACCATGTAGCAATCAAGACCCACTTTGCAGAGAATCGTCTTTGACTAACATCATATTTTCTAACTTCCGCTGAAGCTCTTGTTAGAATAGCAAGATCTTGACTTTCTCTGTAATATATATTGCCTCCTTTTGTGGTGTCGACATCTGCCCAAAATGGTGCAATTAGACGACGATTGCCGCTTAAAGGGAATGGGTCCGGTTTGTATTGTGAAACTTCCCGAAGGAATGAGATAGCTCCATTGGTGTTTATCTTCAAAAAAACAAAAATGGAATTGATAGAATCACGTAATAACACGCAAAAAGTTAATATAACATTGCAAACTTTATTTGTATGAGTATTAAGAAAAGGAAAATCATAGAGAGCATTGACAAGTTAGTATGTTATCAGATCTTTCATAAAACATGCAAAGGAAATTTTAAAAGACAAATGTAAAAATGTTTTACGTGTAGATACTGTGCCTGTGCAGCTTTACCGTGTGTAAAGCGTAGAAAGTGTTGTTAAATATAAAATCCTGTGGTTTGATAGGACATATTATAGATTTTCTGTAATTCTTTGTATCGTTTCTATTCTTTTTGTAAGGTAAGCCAATTGCCTGATATAAAAAGAGAGATGAACGAAAAAGACTGCATTGAAAATGCTTGGTTAATTATCGCAACACATCAGTGGCTAATTTCTCATATGAAATAATGTGACATTCAAAAATGTGATATTGATTGCACAAGCATTTTAATGTGCATTATTTAAGAAATATGAGTGCAATTGAAATTTAATGTTTGTAATCATAAGCATGCATTTTTCTAAGAAAAATGTGTACCTCATACACTCATGTGCAAATATAGACAATTCCAGATGGTCTGTAATTTTGGATTGTTGGAATAAATAGCAATGATTTTTTACATAAGATTAGAAAAAAAAAGAACGTTGAATTTTTATGTTAATTAAATGCACTTGATCTTGCCAAATGAATTGAGCAAAATCAACGAATGAAACAAAACTTGATATCAACCACTTGCACTAAATCTTGCCCAATAAACTGGATAAAAATTTAAGGATGTAGTAATATTTTTAAATAACTTCATACTTGAACAGTGAAAAACAAGTGATTCAAGTAAAATTAAAAACAACGTTTTCTGGTAGGATCAAAAGAAAATCAAAATGGTGACTGAAACAATTGCTTAATCTCAGAAGCATACATACCAATTAAAATGATTTGCATAACACACAAGTTTATATGTGAGAGTTTGACAAAATCTAATAATCAGAGAACAAATAAGAAAAATCTTGTTTAGAAAAAACAAAGTCCAAAATAGCAGTTTATGCATCATCAGCAATTGCTAAATTAAGGGAGAGAGCAAGAGTGAAGTTTGAACAGCCAAGCTTTCATGAGATATTTGTTGACCCTGTAGTGAGTTGACTATCAAAAAGCTAGGTTTCTCCATTAAAATTGTGTGCTTTCTTTTAAAAAAGGCCATACGAAAGTTGCTCCTAGTGCGTGCCGACCAAGACCTTTATTGTGTGCCCAGATTTTAACAAATGTTAGCGCGAAATTAAAAAAAGTATCAGTAGTAGCATTTTCAATTTTTTTATAAAAATAATCCCCAATACATGTAGGCAATTTTCCCTTCCAGGGTAATAGAGCATTTTCCCTCGTATATATACGTTTAAACAAATCCCCATGCAACCTTGACAGTTTTAAAATGAATTCCTCTTTTCACGATTCCTATCAACTCTCCATTCACGAGATCCTCTTAATCAATAAATACAAGAATTCGCTTACCATCCAAGACAGTTCTAATCCTCTTTATCTTTTAAATTTTACTATATTTACCTTCATTACTTCGTAATTTATGCAATCTATTTCACACCGCCTGCTTTTTCTATGCTAAAACCTCATGTAAATATATTTATTTGTCATAACATGCTATTAAACATTCAATACTAATATAAATTACTCTCTGAAGATGTCTTGAGTAAAGACGAAATGCCACATTACATTTTATTTTAAAATTTTCTATAATTTTTGCTAGAATTTCGATTATGGCCCTACTTAAAGCTTTATGCTTAGCATTAATATTCATTATGGAAGATAATCATATCTTATTAGCTTATTGATATTTCAAGATCCATTAATCATGACATCAAACATAATTATCATACATCATTAAGATTTAGCTTCAGTTGTTTGGAAGTTTTGCATAATTGGTAAATATCTTGGACAATATCCCTGTAAGTTTAGTGCATTTTGAATTTTCTTTCTCCAAACTGCGCCCATTGTCCGTGATCTGACGTTGGTCGTTTACACGTTTATTGTCTTCCTTCTACAACAATTTCCTATGTTCTGCTTTTACTAATAGACAATCATTTGTGAAAAAGAGAAAGCGAATGAAAGGAACTGACTGTAACAGGATGAAAGAGTTCTTAACATAACGAAAAGAACAATATATCAAACAATCAATAAATGTGCTCTCACAAAAACGTAAGATTTATACAAATTACCTCCATTAATTTAACTTGTGGCTTACAAGGAGATAATTGTGATCCAATAATATTTCTAATTTAAATTTTTTGTATTTCTGATCATTGTCATTGTTGTAGCTGCATCACATAAGATAAACGCATTTACAAAGGTTAATATGTGAAATAGGTGTTCATCAACACGTAACCTACACAAATCTACATAAATCTACATAAAAATAAATATAAATCGTTAACGATAACCTTTGAACATAGTTTTGTTTACATTCTACTTAAATTGGTTTAAGTGAAGCAACATCAAAATTTTTCATAAAATAATCGTATTTGTCCTGTGGAGCGCAATTTAAATTTGTCCTGTGGAGCGCAATTTAAATTCGCAGCAATGCTATACCATTGCTGCGAATCGGCCATTTAAAAATTCATGTATATTAATATTACAGGTTTATAGTTTTCAATTAAATGCTGATGATAACAAATATGTAGTAAGGAGTCATAGACAATATTCAACTAAGCAAACCCAAACAAAGGTCTTCTGCATGCGCCATCTATATTTACAATCTAACGTCTCGTACTAAGAATTGACAAATATTTGACATCAATTCGTAAAAGCTAACAATACTTACAAACAGAGAATCATGATCTGTGTCAAAGAAAGGAAAAGGAAACGAAATAGCTACAAGACCAGAACTTCCATCATCATTCTTTGGTACTGATTTATCGCCATTATCAGGTCCATATGGATAAAAATCGCTAAGTTCTACACGCATATGCACAACTTGTAAAAGATTATTAAAAACGTAAAATATCAGTAAGACTGTTGTAACTCGGTTCATTGTGAGATACAAATGAAACATACAATGCAGAGTAAAGGAAGCACTTCTAAGAACAAAAGTGCGTAAATAAAATCATGGCATAAAATTTGAATACTAATATTGACGTTCAAGTACAAAGTTGATATTAGTATTTGAATACTAATATTAACTTCGTGAGAAAATTCCAAAAATTCCAAAAGAAGTTTTGTTTTAAAAATAATATTTTTGTGTCACAAGAAGGGGATTAGAATACTCAATTTTCTCACGAATTTGATTGTTGCTGCATCAATGGTAAAAAATATGAGATATAAAAGTAAATGAGCTTGTCGGTTAATGAAGTTCGGTCAATACATACACGTGCACAATGGCATGAATTATAAGAATAGCAAGCGTAGTAAACATCTGATTTACTTTTACTTCAACGGATGAAATCTCTCAAATTTTGGCTCAATTGTTATTGCTTTACGACATACGAAGTTGTAAAGCAAGAACTTTTGTTTTAAAGATAATATTTTTGTGCCACAAGAAGTTAATTTAAAACTACAAGTTTTAGTTTCTTCTTTACATAATTTTACTGGTTTGTTATCGTTCAATAGCACTCAACTCATGATAATGCCCATGCAAATGCCATTTCTACGTTTTCTTTACATACCTGGTAGACAATTTCGTCACTTCCACCTCTTTCCAAAACTTTTTATTAATATGTGGCATGTGACATTCACACAAAGAAATACGTATTCTATGCAGCGGCAGTCGATCTTGCGTACGTCAAAATAAATTATTCAGCACATTTTGGCATGTACTTACATTTCTATAAGCCCCTTAGAGACCAGTCCATTGGTAAAATTATACTCTTTTGCAATTCAAAACCATTGGTGTTTTTCTGAAAATACTTTTAATTTAAAATCAAGCGGCTTTAATTTTTTTTGACGAACGCTGGATCCGTTATTGAGTCTGTGAGTCATGGAAATCAACGGGAAACTCTTTTGGATTCAAAGATTTTATTCGATTAACCATAGTTCTACCAGTACAAAGCCAAATGAAAGTCATACAAAAGCTGATTGTGTGACATGACATCATTGCCAATGCTATCTTTTTAAGCCAATATGAAAAAATGTCGCCTTTTGCAAACCGCAATGCAAGCATACAAGGTGGAAGATTTCAAAAATGGACATAAAGCAACGCTATTTTGACACAGAAGCAAAAACAACAGGAGCATATGTACGGTATATCCAACAAGTCACACGATGATATTTATTGTACAAAAAATTACATCTCCATATCATAGTTAAAACATTTTTGTTAAAATTAACTTTCTGATTACATCATCATTTGAGTTCAATTGTCAAAAGTTTGTTTTATCACTTAAACTCTTATTCCTTGTTTGCAGCTACGTCATAGCCGTCATGTTGGATGATTTTAACAAAGGATTTTCTAACTCCCAGGAAAGGTTTGTAATCCACCAATAAATGTTTTGTTAGTAAACAGATGAGTTGATTTTAACTGCTCTTAAATCATATCAACTGACTTACTTTTATGCGGGTAGGCAGTGATTTGACTGGCTTGACGGATAAGGGAGCTCAAAAAGTATCATATAAATCATTTCATTGGTCCACAACCATATCAGTAGACGATTTTCATTGATCTGAAGCGATCTTGACTGATGAACAGGGTGGCTGGACGGATAAGGTCCAATTTCTATCATGTAATAGGTTCGTTTAAATTTTTCTTATCGTGACTGCTTTTATAACCAATTTTGACTGACAGCCAACTGAGCTACCATAAACAAGATTTGTGTCTGAATTAAACGATTGATCGTTTCATTACAGAATTTTGAGACTTTTTTTATAAATTCAAATATTTACATGTATGCTGCTTTCCTAAATGCAATTTTTCAAGAACAAGCCTCACAGTCTAATTTTAAGGCTTTCTATAGTCAATCTAACTGTCATTGTGATAGAATTAATTTCAAACCGCAAAGTTTCTAGTTTTTGAGTGGGAACAAAAACGGATTTTTCTGGATGTTTCAGAAATCTAAGTTTTATAAATAAGGACGCAGTGTCAATAACATTACTGCACCATTCATCATAGCTTTTTCCCTGCAAATAAAAATAGTCTAAATGTCCACAATAATGTCCCCATTTGTATGTAGAGAAGCTAAAGGTGGTTTCAGAATTTTAATGAATTTCTGAGGTCCACTCGACAACCCCATAGGTAGGCAAGTAAATTGATACAGTCTGTCATTCCATTGGAATTTCATGTGTTTCCGATCTTTATATTTATAGGAATGGAAAAAGCATCCTTCATATCGATGCTTGCCATAAAAAAATTTCCGTCAACTAACTTGATTATCGTACTCAATGAACCATTTTTAAAATGATAATATGACAAACATCGATTACATTTTTTAAGATTTAGTATAACTCTGTAAGTGCTGTCTTTTTTCCGTCTAGTAAAAATATTTAAAAGAATTTCGTTTGGTTGGTTTTACGTTTCTTCGATTATGCCTTTGGTATGGATTTATCTATTTTAGAATCTATTATATCAAACTCTGCACTAGTGAATTTTGTTGGTGCAAAGTAATGTTGAGTTGGCATATCTAACAATCGTCATGCCTTTTACGTCTAATGAGATTTCCTTATCGGATGTTATTTCAAGCCAAGCCGAGAAATAATTTGAAATTCTGCCTACTTTGAAAAGAGATTTTAATTTAGTCAAACATACTTTCACAATTGAAATTGATATTTCCCATTTTCTTACCGATGATTCCAAAATAGTGTCAAGTTCTTTAATTATTTCTAGTACGTTGTTTATTGGTTGCATTTATTGCCGCCGGCTTGGTTACAAGGGGTTTAAATGTTGCATAAAGTTCAAACCCTGATGTCACCTGTTAAAGAAATCATCAGCTTTTGTGTGTTTATAGCAGAGTTTAATCTTCGGTGAAAATCCGAATGTGGGCCAGCATCCAAATTTGACACACCTGGTCCATAGCGCCAAATACGTTTATCTTGATATTTCGGGTAATAAGAAAGTTGCAGACGATGCGAAATGTGTCCAGCTTGATTATTTTTAACAACTTGACCGACACTACTCGTCTTTTTAGCATCTTTTAGACGCTTGGGTAAATCATCCCCAAAAAGAAACTTTCTTTTTTGACCATGGTCTGAGCATATGAGAGCATACTACGGTTTAGAACAGACTTTATTTTATGTCTGTGGAGACTTGCCAGAATTGGGGACATCATGAAAAGTGACTAAATCTTTCAGTATCTTCGAAAAAAGCCATTTTGGATTGTGATGTTCACATGTGAAGAGTTTATTTCGTTTTTATTCCACGTCAAAACTGTTCTGGTGGAATCTGCCCACTTTTCCACTTCCAATCCTTGAACGTCTGGTGGATTTCTTCCTAATGGTACTATATAAACATATGTTTTACGTCACACAAGAATTTACATTACTCTATTTCTTTCTCGTGCAATTATGCTAAGTGTAGGTATGATGGTCTAGAAAATATTTGTTTTGCGGGGAATATTTTTAAACAGCAAGACCGCAAGTAATAAAGTAAATGAGTTAAGCCCAAGAGCATCAGCTACATGCTAGTAAATGTAGATCATTCACGTTAGTAAATAAGGTGTTAATATTTAGCAACGTTTTGAAACATTAGTGGGAGTCATCTTCAGTAAAAAATAAGGACGTAAAATGTTTGTGAGAATCGTTTTCTTCCAGTGGGCAATTGACGTCGAATTGACCTTCAAAATTGCGTCGAAAATAGCGACCTTCAGAACGGCGTGGTTGCCTCGACTTAATTTTAACGTTGAAAAACGTCATTTTTCGACGCCAATTTTAAATTTGTAACTTTGGAATATACGTTGAATACTCGTTGAAAAACGACGATTCATACTTTGCCATGTTTTTGACCAAAAAGAAAATCCCATAGTTTGTTGGTTAGCATTTTGATTTTGCCACTATATAATTATAACTTTTCATGCTCTATATCGCAACGAACAACTCTAGTAACCGATTATAATCGATCCGTGTCGAGTGATAGTCAAAATGTAGCAGCATAATCTTCATAGTTTTTATTATCTATTTTTATTAAGACGCTATTGAAGAAGCTATCATTCGAGTAAGCCATATATTAATTGATTATGTACACTTAGAAGAGGATTAGATGGGAAATTTATCCCGTCTAGGCAAGTTGACCTGCCTGGCAGAGTTGACTCGCTTTGCAAGTGTGTCATATATTAAAGAAGGTTTTATGCATGCGTTTTTTTGTGTTTTTGAGCATATTGGTCCACCGCCTGAAAAGCATATGAACAAAAAATGTTTATGCTCAGCTTAGTTTTTGAGTATCTCAGGACTAGTATGTGGTTTTGACAACTTTTCAAAGTTGACAACTAAAGGTACTCGACTTTTCGTTCTTTATTCATTCTTATTATGTTTTTATTGCACAAACAATTCAGCAGCTAATGTCTCTAGATTTAAATTTCATTCCTTAAACAAGATATAATTACAATTAGATATGAATATACGTAGCTATACTCATTTTTATTGATGCTTAAAAGAAAATTATCGTTTTAGTTAAAACTGCATACATTGAAACTTCATAAATTGCCTTAATTTTTTTGATTAAACTTAGTCAATATTATGTGAAATTAGTGGCAATTAGTCAAGTTTATCTTTAGTTGATCAGAGTATTGTATGTTTGATATGTTGTTACACTGCTGAAGAAGCTTTCTCATCAATATTTTCCAAACATAATAAATTTGGCGATTCGTCATTTGTTACTATTTTCCCATCGAGCTTTAACATCCCATGATCGTTATTTTTAGGAATTCCACTTTGTGTAGACGATTGAAATGCATCGGTGTTGTCTGTTAAAAAATTGTAAAAAGAAAAATAGTATTTTCATACATGCTCTGTAAAAACCAAAATCATGCTCGTCTACCACAAACATGCTTCAATAATGCACCGCCCATTCGCACAACGATCCCTCCTCGTCACTTTATATCACCAAATGCCAAACTGCAGTATATAAGTGTATGAGTATGTTTTGAAACGATTGT